ACCTTATCGGAAGTTACAAATTGTCCTATATGAAAATGTATTTCTGATATCTAACTTCCCTCCGCTCACACTTCCCACTCATCCTCCTCACAATCTTCCGGTGCTTGTGTCTTCTGTTAAACTTCAAAATGATAGTTCAGTAGTGGCATGTCGAGGGAGTCACATGTGCCACATGATAGTAGTGCTCTCCTATTGATGGAGAGGTGACGCATGATGATTTGCATGAGAGGCATGTTGGAACTTAGGATTTCAGCAGAGGGAAGATGAAGGCTTGTGGCATGCGTTTCTGAAAAAAGTTTCCATATAGAGGACAGTACAAAACAAGAAAAGCTAATCTTGTGAGCGGAGGGAAGTACCTATAAAAAATTCATTTTCATCTAGGAAAATTATAACTTTCCCATAAGAGGCAGAAAAATTAGTGTCAGGACTTATTTGTTTTTGTAATGAGCAGTTGCGTTTATGATTTATTTTTTGTGTTTTGACAAGAATGAATGGTGAAAGATGATTAAACAAACACTAAGGAGAGTGCACATTTCACCAATGGAGGATAGAAAAGTCCTCTGCTCTTTACATAAAATATATGTTTACTCTTTAATAAACTTTGAAAACTCCCCTTTTTAGCACCCATCATGTTTAAACATAGAATATAGCTACAGTTAATACCCACTCTCTTCCCAAGCCCAGGAAGTCACTGGTGGGAAAGAAACTTCATTTCTCCCAGCCTTGATGTTAATTAGTCAACATCTTTATAACTTTTAGCTCACATCAAGTGAATCTAGATCCTCCTGAATCTATCTGATAGAAGTCCAATCTGTTGTCATGAATTTACCATTCCACCTCAGACCATAGCAACAATGGTTCTGCACCCATATTTAAGACAAAATAATATTCAACCTGTAATATGGGTGGAATAGCATGCACAGATGACAATCTCTAAAATTAGCAATTTCACAAGGCCATGTTTACATACACATGGAATGGTAACATGGAATTTCAGCTAAATAAAACATAACTGCACCATTACATAGTTTTCCCAAGAGTCAGCACATTTATATGATGCCATATAAGGTACCATTTTAGAACAAATAACCCAATGCCATTATTTAAATCAAATCAGGGACTGGACACTTGTGTCCTAAAGCTAAAGGAAGATTGAGTAACATTGGAGTATGACTATCTCTGATACATGCTGGCAAATCTTACACTTCAAGAGATTTGACTCCAATATTAAATGGTAGAAGTGCAGGCCTAAAAGAGCTCTTGGTTAACTTTGCTGGTGCAGGAAGGTAACTTAGTTGCAGGACACACACCAACCATTCAAAATTTAGCTTTATATGAAGGAGTGAGTATAAATTGGAGTATGTGCTACAAAAAATTTGGTACATGTTCACCAGATCTAGTGATCTTTGGATGTTGAATGTCTTTGGAGTATAATAAGTTCAATGATTTGAAATTGTAGGGAATTGGAGACATATCCCGCCATGGCAAACAATAAATCAGGATCCATGAATTATAGCAGTTCACTACACAAGGTAGTACCAAAGATAAATGAACCATGAACTATAGCAGCATACTACACTACAAAATACCAAGTGCCATCTCAATGATCATATTTATCAAATTCAACTTTAAATAAGACTTATTTTAGGGAACTTCGACCTGAATAAATCTTATGTTCTAATAATCTGCAAAGTAATAAAACACAAATCCTAATACTCTACAGTGTAATCAGATTTTTTACACTGCAAAGATGTTGTATTAAAACACATTCTAATAATCTACAGTGTATTCATATTGTTTATACTTGAAGGATGTTGTATTAAAACACACATCCTAACAGTGTACACTGTAATAAGATTGTTTATAGTGGAAGGATGTCTTGAAATGCATATTGTAATAGTTTACAGTGTATTCATATTGTTTATACTTGAACAATATTGTATTAAGTCATACATCCTAAGTTTCTACAATGTAATCAGATTGTTTATACTAGAAAGATGTTGTATTAAAACACACATCCTAATATTCTATAGTGTAATCATATTGTTTATACTTGAAGGATGTTGTATTAAAACACACATCCTAATATTCTATAGTGTAATCATATTGTTTATACTTGAAGGATGTTGTATTAAAACACACACATCCTAATATTCTATAGTGTAATCAGATTGTTTATACTAGAAATATGTTATATTAAAACGCACATCCTAAGACTACAATGTAATCATATTGTTTATACTTGAAGGATGTATTAAAATACACATCCTAATATTCTATAGTGTAGTTAGGTTGTTTATAGTGAAACACACATCCTAATATTCTAGAGTGTAGTTAGGTTATTTATAGTGGCAGGATATTGTATTAAAACACATCCTAATAGTCTACAGTGTATTCATATTTTTTATACTTGAAGGATGTTGTATTAAAACACATCCTAATAGTGTACAGTGTATTCATATAGTTTATACTTGAAGGATGTTGTATTAAAACATACATTCTAATAGTGTACAGCGTATTCATATTGTTTATACTTGAAGGATGTTGTATTAAAACACGCATCCTGATAGGGTATACTGTAATTAGATTGTTTATAGCGGAGTGATGTTTTTTTTAAAAAACACATCTTAATACTCTACAGTGTAATCAGATTGTCTATACTGGAAGGATGTTGTATTAAAACACACATCCTAATACTCTACAGTGTAATTAGATTGTTTATACTGGAAGGATGTTGTATTAAAACACATCCTGATAGTGTACAGTGTAAATAGATTGTTTATACTGGAAGAGTTTGTTAAAACACAGTTGTAATAGTCTGCAATGTATTCATATTGTTTATACTGGAAAGATGTTGTATTAAAACACACATCCTATTAGTTGACAGTGTAATCATATTTTTTATACTAGAAGGATGTTATTTAAACACACATCCTATTAGTTGACAGTGTAATCATATTTTTTATACTAGAAGGATGTTGTTTTATTGAAAAACAAATTTTATGTCTGACTAATTAACACAACCAAAGATTTGTTTATTCAGGTGGCAGATCAAATACAACATCCTTCCAGTAAAAACAATATAATTACACTATACACTATTAGGATGTGTGTTTAAATATTTGGCTTTATTGTAGAAGTTATTTTTCTACATAATATTTGTGGAGTTGAAGGAGTAACATGAAAAGGCTTAAGAATATTCGTACTCTTAACTCTAGGCAAGTGTTCAAATCATAGGTCTGTTCTAACATACAATATACAATTATCAATGCCATACAACAGTCCTGGTATACAAGTGTCAGCCATTCTACTACAATGATAAAAGAATGTACATTACTTGTAATGTTTTGGGACAACATGGGACCTATTGGTCCATCTCAGCTTTTCCATCCTCTAAACTAAATTAAAATAATTAAAAAAAACAAATCTTGAAGCCAGTCTTTATCATTCATATACATGTCAAGCTTTTTGTTAAACTCATTTAAACTACCTGCCTTTACAACATCTGAAGGCAACCCATTCCAAAGGCTAACTACTCTGTTAGATGACACCTACCTTGCCAAAATTGATATTTATGTCCCTTAGTTCCACTATTCTCACTGTTAAATATGAAAAACAATGATACATCAACCCAATCAATTCCCTTTACAATCTTAAACACCTCAATCAGATCCCCCTTAATGCTTCTTTTTTCAAGAGAAAACAATTTGAGAGATTTTAGCCTCTCCTCGTATGACAACATCTCCATCCCAGGTAACATACTAACCCTTCTCTGAACCCTTTCCAACAATTAAATGCCTTTCCTAAGGTAAAGAGCCCGAGACTGAACACAATATTCTAATTGTGGCCTAATCTATGACCTGTACAATGAAATTATAACCTCTTTAGACTTGTATTTAACATTTCTGTTGATACAATTGAAAATCCTATTTGTCCTACCAATAGCAACAGCGCACTGCTTCAATGGCTTTTGAGACTAATCAACTATTACACCAAGATCACTTTCCTTCATAACACTGTTAATGTTATTTCCATCCAGATTATACTTATAATTCAAATTATTATAACCCATCTGCCATTTATTTGCCCAACTCACTAAATGATCTAAATCCTTTTGTAAATCAGTAGCATTCTCTTCACAGCTAGCAACATCCAAGACCTTAATATCATCTGCAACTGTAAATAATTTATTGACTATTCCTCCATCTATGTCATTGATATAAATCAAAAAGGGCAAAAGTCCTAAGATTATGCCCTGAGGTAACCTACTTGTGACATTAATCCAGTTTGACTGAACTGCATTTATAACAATCCTCTGCTTTCTTTCATCCAGCCACTCTTCTATCCAATTTGCTAACTTATCCCCCACACCTATGGAGATTTTTTATACAAGCCTTTTATGTGATACCTTGTCAAATGCTTTCTGAATATCTAGATACACCAAATCTACTCCCTTACCCCCATCTACATAAGCAGTAAACTTTTCAAAGAATGTCAAAAGATTTGTGAAACCATGTTGACTATCCAATAAAATTCTAAACTTTCTTAAATGACTTTGCAAAGCATCTATCAACAGACTTTCCAAAACTTTTCCCACAAATGATGTAAGACTAATGTTAATTTTGTTGGCATACATGGCTAGTAAAGTTGTTAATTAAATTTTGAATGTAACTCAGTATCATACACAGAAAGGAATTTAAAAATAGAAACAAGGGCCATAGTGTTATACTAGAATGATGTAGTATTAAAACACATCCTAGTAGTCTATAGTGTAATCAGATTGTTTTTACAGGCTGTTGTGTTAATAGAACATGTAATGTAGAAAACTTATCTAATAAAATTTGTTTTATAGAAGTATTTAAGTGACACATATTCTAGATTTTAAATAAAATTTGTTTTATAGCTCTAAGCATGGAGACACACAGCTCTTCATCTAGAATATACACAACAGCCCTGACCAAAATTGGATTTTGTATTCTTAAGAGCTGACTTGTTTTTAGGTATACAGATAGAAGCTGACAAGACTTATCTAGAAGAAAGAAAGCAAAGACTAGGGAAGGATCATATTCCCCTCAGTGAACAAAAACAAGAGAAGGATTGTATTCCCCTCAGAGAACAAAGACTAGAGAAAGATTGTATTCCCCTCCGTGAAATCATGGATATGGAAATGGCCCTGCATCTTAGCAGAGAAGAAAAAGTATGTTTTTGTTGAGTAGTATAAAGAGATGACTAGAACAAAGTGGAATTTGTCTGTATTACATTTAAAGGCTAGTTTACAAAGAGTGAGAAACTAGCATGGAAACACTATACTGTCATATCATTAGTGGACGAAATGTCTTGTATACCTTCATTTGAAGTTTATGAAAGATGTTTTTATTCTCTCATAATGATTAATTGATAGTAAAGATAAAATGTATAGTTTATATTCTGCATTACACAGTTATGTTTAAAATAGTGTAAATTAGTATAACCATATAATGTGTATAAATATTTACTTTTTTTTTCAACTGACTGCAATATTCAGTAATATAAAAGTTACTTAACTTATACTAAGTTTGTTTAGAAATGACCTTGGGTTTGAAGAAAATTTACATTGAATCAAACAGATATAAGTTTCTCTGTTAACAGCTGAAGGATCCTGCTTCTAAAGGACATGAACTTGCATCTCATTTGAAGCGGAGACAGTTGTACGAACTATTCCCGGGAGTAGATGAAAGTGCTTTAGATGAAGTTTTAGAGTCCACAAAGTAAGTTTGGTTCCTCCTGTTTTCTTTGTGGTATGTTAGCAGTAGTAGTGAGTCTCAATTACTTTGTAGTATGCTGTCTAAGAGTAGTAATAAACTCCAGTTCCCACTATATACCTTCAGCTAAACCCTCTAATACTATTAATGGCCCTCAGTGTTAATATAATATTAATCTCACTCTATATGTTTGGATTTTATTCCTCATTATTTTCCTTTCCATGTAACTGTTATAATATGACATAAAAAGTAAGCATATTTTCTATTCTGGACATTGTGGAATGATAACTACACCCAGCCATCCAGCAGCTCAAGCTTCATGCATGGAGGTCATGTGGTCCTTTGTACGGTGTCGGGGGTTTAACTTCTAAGGTTGCCATTTATCTGTCTCAGTATTTCTTTAGTCCCACAATCGACATTTATCAACAAGAATTGTACACATATCACCAATGGTGTATTGCAAGAAGATTGAACCTATTTCGTCCAAAAGTGCCAACCATAACTCATTTTTTAACCTGGCTCTTTGACAAGGGTTTCACTTCTTTCATAATTGCCTTATATAAGGCAGTCTCATTGACTAACTTTAGATATCCAGTGCTCTCTGGCTTCCCCAAGTCATTTCGTGTACTTTGTTAAAACGATCATTTCAGTTACCTAACTAGGATATTAAGGTGGTATTACTTGCTCTTTATCAACATCAGTTTGAGCCCTTAGCCTCATGTATCACCTATCCCTTAAGGTTTATTTTTTGTTGTTGTTGGCCTGCATACGTTGCTGGTCAGTGTTGTTTATGTTGCATGTGCACGGGACGCTTTATCATTCTACCTACACCCTCCTATATTCAGACATGTCCTTCTTACCTAAGAAACTGGCAGCCATGGAAGGGGATAATTCATTTTTTACTGATTCATCTGAACACTATTTCCCACCTCTATGATCAATTGGATCCCAATCATTTGTTAGGTCCAGTGAGAGCCTTGAAGTGTATGTTGGCTGCACTAACACCTTTAGAGGTGCTAGACAACAATTTTTTATTCATTGGGATCCTTCTGTTTCCCGGGTTTTATCCCAGGCTACTTTGTAGAGGTAGGTATGAAAATTGATCCATATTGCTTATTCTGGGCTCTCTTTGGAGGTAAGGAGATTTCTGTGAGTCACATTTCTATGCCCTAAGCAGCCTAGTTGAATTGCCTACTGAGGGACATTGTGCACACTTTATCTCACATTATTTACATGATCTGGCAGTATATTCCTCTGAGGGTTTTTGACTACCCCCTGTAGCTGTCTTTAACTACATCCACTAGATTATAAGGAGTTGTGAGTATCTTCATTACTAATATTTTCTCTTATATAATTTCTAGGGTACCTTACCTCTTTTTCACGGGATCCCACTCTGTGGCAAGTGTTGCCCAGACAGGTGTGCTTGTATCAAACTAATTCCACACTAGAAACCATTACCACGATATACTTTATCTAGGTTTCAACAGGCTCTGCAGAAATGAGGTGTACCATAAGACCACTTAGAGGCAGACTGGGTGATGTTACTGTATTATGCTAGACTGGCACTCATGGACTACCATGAGTAAAGCATAAGGGGATCCTGCCCATCCCTGCCAATCATTGGATTTAATAAATTAAGGTCAGGTTGCTTTTAAAAGAATTAGAGAACTTGGTTCACCTATTTCTCTGTTTTCAGAGCATTGTTCCTCAGGGCTCTCCCCCATTTACATCATTGTACAGTAAATAAAGTGTATAGTTTTGTAAGAAAGTGACTACACAGAGTTTTTGCAGAGGTGAAGAAAGGACTCTAGTGGGAAGTTTAGACGACTTAGAAACAAACCACAAATCTGGGAATTTTTATTATCTCTTTAGATATTCTTTTCATTCCTAAAAATGTTTTTGTTTTAAATTATATCTAGGGGAATTTTCGTCTAAGCTAAGACATCAGGTAAGGTTATTAGTTTTGTTTAGTGAGTACAGTAGGCTGGTAAGATATTCCAATGGCTCAGGTCTTTATTTATTGAATGTTATTTTTAAGTTTATCATAAATACCTAAAAGATCATATTATTTATTGAAAAGAAACTATATTACCTATAAATTGATTTCAACCAAGAATATTGTTACCTAGTCTAAGTGGAAGGAGAATTTTTTATTATTTTTTCAAAAGTATCTTACAAAAAAGATTTTTAGAAATTTCACGGTGTAAAAAAATAAGAGAAAGAGTAAGTCAAATTAGATACAATGTTTTTACTAAATTCCATGCAATTTTGTAAAGTATTTCTGCAGTGAGAAGGAATTAATTGAGTGACACCCTACTAGTGTAGAAACCATGAAATAGTTTCTTTTCAGTTCTGAGTTACTACTAAGGACTTTATTTTCAAAGAAATTTATTTTAGCTTTAATTTAAAACTGATACTAAAACTCTCAAATTTTAAAATAGGACAGCTTGGACTAGAGATCCAATCTTCATAATATTTAAAAACCTAATCATTATTCATTAACTTCCCTTTTAAATTACATTACTTAATTATAATCTCCCTATGTACACAATTAATTAAAGATTGTCAAAAGGCTTTTATTGATTTTCAGCTATTCACTGCTTTCTGCAGTTGCAGCTGTTGAAGGGGCAACAGGACAGTCAAGTTGTCAGTCTGAGTTCATTGTGAAGGAACTGACATCTGGTGATGAAGACTTAGACTTTAATATGGTGAGGACACAGTGTTGTGTCTGAATCTTATTTCCTGTTAAATCTAGTACATAGAAACATAAGTAATATCCTCCTGTGGTTGTCATGGGTCAGGGAAACTGGGAGAAGTCAGTTAATTTTATTTTCTTTGTTTATGGCCTGAGTAACATCAGGGAATTTTCATGTGATTCAGTGATTCTTCTAGGGCACTAATGGTGAATAAAAACTCATATATATGTGCATTGTTTTGGTTATATTATGTAAACAACAACTAGGTTCCTTCCCACTTAAATGGAGCACTTAACTTTTGGGTTTGAAAGTTGTGGGAATACTATTATGCATAAGGTGTAGGATTGATGACCTTCTGTTAAGAGAGAACATTTTGCCAGATAAACAAATTTGAACATTTTTAGGTAAGTATTATTGATATTTGAGCCTTACAAGATACAGCCTAAACCCTAACAGGTTTAAATCTTCATTGTATGTCTAACAATGCCACAGGTGATACTCATCTCTATCAAAGATATAAAGTTTACAGTATAAGCTTCGTGTTACCATCCTCAGATCACTGCTAGTTTTAAGTCAAAAGAAAACAAATGCTACTGTGAATAGAGTTTCAATCCTGAAGCTGTTTCTGAATCCTTGGATTTTAGTGTTCTGGTACTCTAAATCATGTATATTTACATTCAATTTTGTCTCAGTCTTTCTTTTTCCTACATAACTGATCATAACATAATGGGAAGACAGGAAATTCATAAAACTTTAACAATTTGATTGAATAGCTTTGTTATATTACCTTATGAAACACCATCATCCAGCAAGAATGATCATTAAGCATCCAGAGTGTAAGCAAATTAACTTAAGTACAGGCAGCTTTTTATTGGCATTTAATAAAGTTTAATCAAAAAATAACATTTATTAAAAATATATTTAAATGCAGACTTATAAGCAACAAATTACAGAAAATGATTATATGGTTTGTATCAAATAAAAAACATAAAGTAAAACATTTGATGAATTACTTTGCTTTATGAACTTGAACGTATAAATTGTAGTGTGTCAAATGTGTCTCACAACGTAATGAAATAATAAAAATACTTAATCAAACTATACCAACTTGTAACTTCCAAAAGTAGATCCTATTTAGTAAGTCTGTCCAAAGTTTCATGCAATTGGTTAAGTATCAACACTGTGAGAAGAAAATGAGGGGATATTAGTGACATTCCTCCAGTATGGAGAAAGTTGATACAATATCAAAATTCCTTGGATCCTCTTCTTTAACTCCCAATATCTTGGAATCCCTACACTTGAATGATGGCAGTCAACTGGTGAATTATTGATTATTCTTTAGGGCTGTTGTAGTCTGCACATTTTCTGTCAAAATATTTTACTTTGTAAGTGGTTCAACCTAAAAATTGAAATTCTACTACCTTCATTTTGTTTCTGTTTATTATCCTTCTGTTTCCGCTGTCTTGCATGTTATTTGATCTGGGATTCTGTTTATTTTTTGTTTTGGGTATTCGTCACCCTCTTGGCTTTAAACAGTACATCCATTATTTCTGGGGATTTGTTATATATGCACCTTAATTTTTGGACTTATTGCAGCTTTCCTTATTCTCCTTAACTTAGAAATCCATCCATTGATCACTCTGTATTTGGTTCTGCACTCGTTGTTATCATGAAGCTTGGTTATAAGTTAAACTTACATCTTTAGTTTGTTCTTT